TACCGCTAGCCAGCGTTCACCCTACCGCTAGCCAGCGTTCACCCTACCGCTAGCCAGCGTTCACCCTACCGCTAGCCAGCGTTCACCCTACCGCTAGCCAGCGTTGCTGCAGAAGGCTGAGTGTTGGTGGTGATAATGACTCTGAGTCCTCTATGGGTGGGAGAGGCTCAGTGCAGACCACCACCTGGTTGTCTCTGCCACCTTCTGACACAGCTTCAGCACCCAGCTGAGCTGCAACGCCTCAGGGGCATTCAGACCACTTTATTATTTATTTATTTACATTTCTTACCTGAGGTTTAACATTGATCTTCTCAGCAGCGTTTTTGTTGAGCCAGCTCATGTCGATCTCACAATCAAAGTGTCCGATGTTACAAACGATGGCATCGTCCTTCATGTTCTCAAAGTGACTGAAACACAGGGGGTGAGGAAACCGTCACATTGTGTTTGTTGTGGCAGATACGGTTTAATACAGCTCAGTTTCACTTACTGTCCCAGGATGATGTCTTCACAGCCAGTGGTGGTGACGAAGATGTTTCCTTCCTTACTGGCCTCATCCATGGTGGTAACTTCATATCCTGCAGATAAAAAAAACATGAAGACTGGTCTGCTGCACCTAAAATCAGTAACCACGCCACTGAGAGTTCACCTTTATTATAAGATGTAAGAAGTTAGACCCAGTTGTGCACCAGCTTGACGCCACATCAGAACTTTATTTTGGAAACAAGCAGGGTTTAAATCGACACCTACCCTCCATGGCAGCCTGCAGGGCGTTGATGGGGTCGATCTCCGTCACGATGACGCGAGCGCCGAAGGCCCGCAGAGCCTGGACGCAGCCCTTACCGACGTCACCGTAACCCGCCACCACGGCCACCTTCCCAGCGATCATCACGTCGGTGGCTCGCTTGATGCCGTCGATCAGACTCTCCCTGCAGCCGTACAGGTTGTCGAACTTACTCTGCGGGCGACAGAGGAACAGATTTCCGTGACGTCATCGAGCCGGCAGCGTTAACTCTGCACTTTCAGCTCGTTTCCAGCTGCTCCACGAAATAAAACAAAAGATAAAAGCTCAGAGTGGTGACCTTGGTGACAGAGTCATTAACGTTGATGGCAGGGATCTTCAGCTCGCCCTTCTTCATCATCTTGTACAGGTTGTGAACACCTGTAGTGGTTTCCTCTGAAACGCCACGAATACCTAAAATAAAAAAAAGTTCACATAAAATAAAGAATGTTTCCTCATCTAATTAAAGTTTTTTAAATTTAAAAAGGCACAGTGTGTAGGATTTGTTGTTTTCAGCGACATCTAGTGGTTGAATCATCCTCCCTGGTCCTCCCCCCACCCCCACCCTCCAAACGCTACGTGTCTCTCAGGTGTCAAAAACCTTTGATAATTCCAACC